TCTTCGAGCAACTTTTACAATTTTTTGTATGTTTTGTATTTAACCTCCTGTTGTAAAGTGTATATTGACATTTTAAAAAAATTCTGAGATTCGTAGCAATTTTTTTAGGTCTGTGTGCTTCGCATTAACTCAGATGTAAAGTTATTTCAGAGCATTTATAAAGCTTGATTCATAGCAAAATTATGTTATATGTATATCTATATATATGTATATAGTATTTTAACGGATGAGTCTGTATGCAAAATTGTGCCCCGGTGGGACAGCGGTAACTTTACGGACTTTGTTACTGAACTTAATTAAATCCATATACAGTTAGATTTACACAGTTAATGTTACTGAACTTAATTAAATCCATATATAGTTATATTTACACAGTCTTGAATGATTCTCAAAATTCGTGTATTTTTCCTTTATTTCTATTATAATAGTCTATACAGTTAATGACCAGGATTACTCACTATAGCTGTTGATCATAACGGTTCTTATGACCAGGATTACTCATTATAGCTGTTGATCGTAGCGTTTCTTATTACCAGGATTACTCACTATAGCTGTTGATCGTAACTGTCTTATGACCAGGATTAATCACTATAGCTGTTGATCGTAACGGTTCTTATGACCAGGATTACTCACTATAGCTGTTGATCGTAACGGTTTTTATGACCAGGATTACTCACTATAGCTGTTGATCGTAACGGTTCTTATAACCAGGATTACTCACTACAGCTGTTGATCGTAACGGTCTTATGATCAGGATTACTCACTATAGCTGTTGACCGTAACGGTCTTATGACCAGAATTACTCACTATTTTTATTATAATAGTTTATACAGAAATGTATTTTTTCTACTGCTGACATTGGAAATTACTTTAATTTTCAATTTATTCCAATAACGAAGACCTTTATAAGTGAATGATACTGCGGGTTTATTTCCGTACAATGAAAGAGCGGTGAAAGTTGTTTGTAAATAGAATTACATAAAACATATGTGAAGAAATAAATCATTTAACAAAAATTTATATTTCCTTTTAACAATGAAACTTAACAAAATCATCGACACTTGATCCTAGGAATTATCAATAACAGACGCAAGAATACGTTCTTTTTTTTTCTTTAAGTCAACTGCTTACACAGTGACTATTCAATGACTTGATATGTTTGGATCAGTTAAACCACAAACACCAGATTTTCTCAGATCAAGTAAAAAGTTACAAACGAAACAAAAAAAAAAAAAAAACGTCGTTGGCTTTTCACTGTGGGACTTTAATAGATCAAGTCCAAACCGGTTCGTTCCGCCATGGTCCGAGATAAAGCCGTGGAATTAAAGTACTGTTACAAGACACGAGGAGATCCTGAAAGACACAATCAGCGTGTGATAAATACACGTCTTAATTTCATTACTAGTTTTTTACAGTCTGCGCTAACCGTCCCTAATTTAGCAGTGAAACACTAGAGGGAAGGCAGCTAGTCATCACCACCCACCGCCAACTCTTGGGCTACTTTTTTAACAATGAATAGTGGAATCGACTGTCACAATATAACGCCTCCACGGCTGAAAGGGCGAATATGTTTGGTGGAACGGGGATTGAAAAACAAATTGAATAGCTTACTGAGAGTTAGTCACACTCAATAAGAACGATGATCAAGGTTCTTACTTGTTCTTGAAATCACTTCTTCTTCTGTTGATCGTAACGTTTCTTATGACCAGGATTACTAACTATGACTGTTGATCGTAACGATCTTATGACCAAGATTACTCACTATAGCTGTTGATAGTAACGATTATTATGACCAGGATTACTCACTACAGCTGTTGATCGTAACGGTCTTATGACCAGAA